TCGAGACCAGCCTGGGCTACAAAGTGAGCTCAAGGCCAGCCTGAACTGCATAGCAAGACCCTGTCTCAAAAAGACAAGAAAAAAAAAAAAAAAAAAAGGAAAGAAAGTCTCTGAACATCCCATTGAGTCAGAGGTCAGCAAATTGTTTCTGTCAAAGGCCAGTTAGAGAGGTTTAGGTTATTGTGGGCCATGACATCTCCATGGCAACTACTGTATTACAGTTTGCTGTTGTTCAAATGTAATTATGTGAACAAATAGTTATGACTGTGTTCTGATAAATTTTACTTATGGACATTAAAATATAAATTTAACATACTTTTCAAGGATCATAGAATCTACAGCCAAGCATATAATAGTCAAGATTCCAGAAATTCAACACAAGAGCAGAATATTAAAAGCTGTTAGAGAAAAGAAATAAATCATCTATACAGGAAACCCTATCAGAATCACAGCTGACCTCTCAGTGCAAACCCTCAAGTCAAGGAGAGCTTGAAGTATTTCAAGCCCTAAAAGAAAACAACCTGTAACAAAGATTGATGTACCCCGCAAAGCTATCTTTCAAAATTGGTGGAGAAATAAGATATTTCCATGGCAAAGAACACCTGAGGAGATTCATGACCACCAAAGCAGCACTCCAAAATGTTCTGTAGGGCATTCTAGAAAGAGATAACATGGACTACAACTCCACAAACCCCAACAGAATGAATCCACCAGGCAAAGCAAACGGGGAGAAAAGGGGAGCCAATAAAAGGAAAATAACATGACAAGGATAAGTCAACACATATCAGTTATAACTATCAAGGTTCGTGGTCTCAATTCAGCAATCAAAAGAAACAGACTGGCAGAATGGCTCAAGAGGCAAGATCTAACAATACCCTGTATACAAGAAACACATTTAATTCAAAAGAATCATAGAGTGTTATTTTTTCAAGAAACACATTTAATTCAAAAGAATCATAGAGTGTTATTTTTTCAATCGTTTAAAAATGTAATGGAGATCCTCAATAAACTAAAACTAGAAATTGCATTTGACCCAGCTATTCCCCTTCTATGTATCTTAGGAGTTGAAGATATCATATTACAGTGAACCATGCATACTCATGTTTATAGCAGCAAAATTCATAACAGCTGAACCTTGGAAGAGACCCCTGTATCCATTCACAGTGTAGGAAAAGCCGAAGCTCAAGATGGCTGCACTATGGTTTAGTCTGGGGGCGTAGTTTCTCGAGAAGAAAAATTCAAGTCAACAGAATTCCAGCATAGGTGCCCCTTCCAGTGTAGGTGGAAATGGTTGATACAGTATAACCAAGGTTGTTAGTGATTGGTATAGATAATTTATGTAACCAAAGTTGTTAATAGCACATAGCTGCTATTCTGCAGACCCTCCAGCACTCTGGGAGGCTGAGGCAGGAGTAGCTCAAGTTTGAGCTCAGCCCAGGGAATGCCAAAACAAACAGACAAAGAAACAGGAAGCTAGGCATGGTGGACCACATAAAGTCTTCTTTTTTTTCTTTTCCTCTGTTCCAACTCAGTGTGTCCCAATCTGAATGCCAGGTCACTTCCTCTTTCAAGAGAATGTCTTTGTGAATTGCTGAGGTGCCCTATGTGGAAGTCCAGTGGTGACAGTCAAAAAGGAATTTACCAATAGCCAAGAAACATAGACAAAGTAAGAGTTTATTGCTAGACTGCAAGAGAGCGGTAGGTGAGTCCAAGGAAGGACCAAACTGTCAGGGCAAAAGGTTGAGCTTTTTTTGTTTGTTGTTTGTCTTTTTGAGATAGGATTTGGCTATGCAGTCAGGCTGGCCTTGAGCTCACTTTGTAGCCCAGGCAGGCCTCAAACTCACAACAATCCTCCTGCCTCAGCCTCCCAAGTGCTGGGATTATAGGCCTGTGCCACCACACCCGGCCTAGGCTGAGCTTTTTCTATTTGACTTAACATGAGGTGGGGTCTGGAACTGTCATCCCTGAAGCTCTCCCATGGGTCACAGTGGTTCTGTTGTCATTCAGCTAGCGCTGAGGACAGCCAGGTATTGTTTGAAGACTGATGTAATGTTTTTGAAGGGGTTCTACGCCTGTCCTTCAGGTAAAATTAATTAACAAATATGTAAATATTAATATTAGTGTTCAGCAGATCAGAATAAAAATATGTGTTTGTACTTAAAAGGGACTTTTTAAACTTTTTTTTAAAAGAAAAAATTTCAAAACAACATAATAAGTGGCACACACCTGTAATCCCAGCACTCAGGAGGCTGAGGCAGGAGGATCGTTGCGAGTTTGAGACTAGCCTGGGCTACCAAGTGAGATCAAGGCCAGCCTGAACTTCATAGCGAGATCCTGTGTCAAAAAGACAAAAAAAAAAAAAAAGATAATAAGGAGGTAACAATGGTTAATACATTGCGTATTGTTGTCTTTAAATTGGTTATTCAGAGTACAAGATATAGGCATTTAATTGTCCAAACAATGTTAGCACAACTATTTCTTTTCAATGAACTAAAAGAAATTAGAAGTATAACTATTTTAACTATCGTGTATGTGTGTGTATATATATATGTACATGTATATATGTATATATACGTATACATATATATATTTTTTTTGCTTTTCCCTTCCTTCTTTTCTCCAGTCTCCCACCCCAGCTTCCCTTTCCTTTTGAAGTTTTTTCCCATTTTACAATATCTATTGTACATTTTGGATCTTATTTACTCTTTCAGCTTTTCACATAGGGAGACAATATGATATTTGCACATGTATGTCTGGTTTATTTACTTTATGAGTATGGTCTTGAGTTGCATCCATTTGCCTATAAAAGCCTCTAGTTTATCCTTCTTTATGGCTGAGTAGTACTCCATTGTATAAAAAGACCACATTTTTTTCTCCATTGAAAGGGACTTTTGATGTTATATTGGTATAGGATAAGAAATGACCCTCTTTAAGAAAAATGACCTCTTTCCAACATGTCAACCAGTCAGCATATCTAGGGGTGCATACATAGTTTCTGTGCATAGCTTACAGGGTGGGAAGGTCACAACTCAGAGTTAAATAAATAATGATTTATTATTTTCAGCCCCCCCCCCAAGGGCCCGAGGCTGATGCCCTCGCCAATTGGAGATTGAACCCCTAGCTTCTCTCCCCCTACTTCTCAGGCCCATATTTCAAATTTTGAGACAGGGCCTCATCAGATCATTAAGGCTTGAATTTGTGATCCTTGTGCCTCAGCCTCTAGAGGTCCTGGGATTTCAGACATGCAGCACAGGTGTTTCTGGAGGCAATTATGAGGGATACCAGAAAACCAGCCCTTAAACACTGCGCTAAAGGCATTGTGTGGTCTACTGGACAGACATTTAATGCTCGCAGCCCCCGTTTAGTTTGTTCACCACTCGGCGATGGCGAAACTTTTGAGCTTACAATGGTAAGAAACAGCCGACTGTAAGACGGGCGCCACGGGTTGGTCACCACTTATGCCGTGGACCTCTTGCCTGCGGGAATGCTGGGTTGGGGAGTCGCGACCCACTCCCTTACGTAAGGACACGCAGTCGTTTCAAAAAAAATCTTCCACTAGTGTTCTGGGAAACCCAGGGCTCGCTCGGAACCTCTTTACTCAGGGAATATAATTTCGGGGGAACTCTAGTCTTGAAGGACCCTGAGCTGTAGAGGGACGCTTCACCTAAAGGACAGCCTCGTTTCAACAACAACTTTATGGATCCCGGAAGTGCCTCCTCCCCGTTTCCTTTTCAGCCTCCAGCCGGCAGGCTGCAGTTGGAACGATGGCGACAGAAGCCGCCGTGCCTGGCCCCGCATCTGGACCTGGGGACTCCCCCGAAGGGCCCGAGGCTGATGCCCCGGAACGTCGGCGAAAGGCGCACGGGATGCTGAAGCTTTACTACGGACTCTCGGAGGGAGAAGCTGGGGGACGCCCCTCCGGGCCGGACCCTCTGGACCCGACTGATCTCAATGGGGCGCACTTCGACCCGGAAGTGTATCTGGACAAGGTGTGTGTGAAGGGGGCGGGTCTAGGCCCCCAATATATTGGATCCCAGCTCATACCTCAGACTTCGTTGATGGGGGGCTAGGGGAGCGGGGCTTCATAGGATAAGGACCCTTGGCCAGGCTGCAGGGGCAGAACTTAAGCCGGAGGGTGCGTGGGCAGACCTGGACTGACCCAAGGTGGCGAGGGGTCCGAGGTCTGGCGGCTGAGGTTTCCATAGGTCCTGGGGAGGGGCGTAGCCTAGGCTGACGGGGGTGGGGCTGGGTGTAGGCTCAGTTTGACAGGCAAACTCCTAACAGGGCCGAACTAGGCAGCCCTGAAGTATGGCCCTTGTAGGGTCCATATCTACGATTCGTGAAACCAGTAGAATCAGTGCTTTCTTTCCTTCTTTCTTTTGCATTTTTAAAATTTTATTGATACATTTTAGATATACATAATGATTACATTCATCATAGAGAATTTATACCTGCACATGATATATCTTGCTGCTTTTCCCCCCATTACCCCCTCCCTTCAAACCCCTCCTCCCCTCCTTATTTACAAAAACTGTTTCCATTTTTTCCTTCTATTCTTTTTTTTTCCTTGTCCCTTCTTTCCTTTCCTCCTCCCCCTACCTTGTTCCCCTTCTCATTTGAACATTTTCTTCCCATTTCCCAGTAGCTATTATACGTTTTAGTCCTTATTTACACTTTGAGTTTCTCACATGATCAGGGTTTTCTTGCACCAAGAGCCTGCCAGTCAGGGGCCAGGCTGGGGAACACTAACCAACCAACCCTAAGTGAACACTAACTCAAAGCACTAACCGCCCTACTTCTCTAGCTGCGTAGGGAGTGCCCACTAGCCCAGCTGATGGACAGCGAGACGGACATGGTGCGGCAGATCCGAGCTCTAGACAGCGACATGCAGACCCTGGTCTATGAAAACTACAACAAGTTCATCTCGGCCACAGGTGATCCCCGCTGGCCACACCTCCCACAGTCTTAATTCCTCCCCACCTGTGTTGGGAAAACCAGGAAGGACTTAGGGGGAGGAGACCCAGATTCCAGTCCTGCCCTATGTCGGTGCACTGTCACCTCTCTCCCTCTGGGCTTTGTGGTCGTGGTCAGACCAGTATAGAGATAATAGCTGCATCTAGGGCTTCGTTTGGGCCAGCACTCTCCCAGTGAGCTGTATTCCCTAGGGTTTGGTTTGGGAACCAAAGGGGAGTAAGGGTAAAACGAGATAAATTCGCATGAAGCACTTAAATAACAATCCCTGATGCAAGGAAGCCTCAGTAAGGTTTAATTTTTATTAGTGGTAGCTTTCATCTCTAATCCAGATCTATCTTGAGGGTGGCCTTGGGCTTCTCTCCCTTCTTCCTGACTGTCCTTTCTCCCTCCCTACTTCAGCAAAGAGAAAATTTATGACCTTAAGGGGCACAAAGATCATGTAAAGACTTTTATTCTCTAGTCCTAGACAGGGTTCAGCTATCCTACATATTACCTTCAGGCCTGTTTTGAAGAGGTACACTTCAAACTTGTATAATAACTTTGGACTTGTATGTACTTAGCCCAGGAGGCAGGCTCCAAGGACCCGACTCCTGCCTAGTCCATGGGACGTTCTGTGAGCACAGACTGGGATTGTCCTCATGTGTGGTCCTCTCCTAGTGTCGCAGTGGTAGGAGTAGTAGCACACTCATTGTTCTTTTATCAGATTTGAAGCAGGTAAGTGGGCTCCCCTTTGCTTGCTAATGCCAGCATATAAATGACAAGACATAACACTTGATGTGCTGAAAAATTTCTCATGAGTTTCACAAATACTACATTTCCACATTTGTTGGCATATGCATGTTTTGATCCTTAACTCTTGCTTAATAGGGATGATTTGGTTTTTAGAATTTTTTCCCTAAGAAGAAGGGAGCAAATTATAAAATGAGTGTTAAGAGTATTAATCTATAATTAATACTCTTGCATTGAGACTATGCATTGAGGTTTGTTGTGTTTTATGAAGAGCTGTTTTGTACATTGGGTATATAGCAGTGGACCCACCAAAGTTCCTGCCTTTTGAGCTGAGCATGGTAGTGAATACCTATATTCCCAGGACTCAAGAGGCTGAGGCAGGAGGAGTACTGTGAGTTCAAGACCGAGCCTGTGCTACATAGTAAAAACTTGTCTCAAAAAAACAAACCAAAAAAACTGTTCATGTCTTTTAGAGGCCACATTCTAGTTGGAGAGACAGACAATAAATGATAACACCAGTTGGGGATATAGCTCAGTGGTGCAACACCTGCCTGGCAAGTGTGAGGTCCTGAATTCAATTCCTGGTATCAAAAAAAAAAAAAAAGACAAATCCATAAAGGTGGTAGGCAGTACTGCAAGAAAGAGGAAGAGACTGATGGCGTGTGTGGCCTAGCTTTAGTGAGGGTGAGTATGGGAGGTCCTCTGGGGTGTGATATGAGCAGGGCACTGGAGACAGAGCCAGCCTGGGGAGGAAGGGCTGAGAGAGAGGCTTGGAAGAGAGAGCCTTGGAAGACAGAGCCAGCAGGCAATCCAGGGCAGGGAGGATGAGAGAGGGGGAGGGTTAGTGCGGGTCGGGTAAGGAAGGACCGTTAAGTGGTGGTGAGGATCTGCTTTGTACTGAGATGGAATGAACAGAAGAATGAGTGGCCAGGTGGTAGTGTCTGCCTGTAATCCCAGCATTTGGGAGGCTGATACAGGAGGGTTACAGTGAGTTTGAGTCCACCATGACTGCATAGTGAATTCAAGGTCAACCGTAACTACATACATAGTGAGATCCTGTCTCAAAAGAGCAAAGAACAAACAAAAAACTGAGGAATAGGATGAGCTGAATCCTCCCCTCCCTGTACTAGGGATTGACCTTAGGCCTCATGCTAGGCAAGAACTTTACAACAAGTCCTTTTTATTTTAAGACAAGGTTTACTAAGTTGTCCTGCTGGCTTAGACTTGTGATGTTCCTGCCTCAGCCTCCTGAGCAGCGTGAGCTACCATTCTTGTCTTATAACTTCTCTCTTTATTGTATTAATATTTTTGTATTTAGGTTTTGGTTTTTTGAGACAGGGTCTCAATATGTAGTTCTGGCTAATCTGGAACTCGCTATGTAGTCTAGGCTGGCCTTGAACTCACAGTGATCCTCCTGTCTCAGCCTTCGAAGTGCTGGAATTACAAATGTGTACTACCAAACCTGGCAATACTGCTTACTTTGAAGGAGAGCACTGGGAAGGAGCAAGTTGGGGTGGGCAGCAAAATCCAAGAGTTGCATGTTGGCCTCGTTGGGTGGAAATGCCTGTTGGACAGGAAGTCTGGAGTTTGGAAGAGAGGCTGGAGTCCAGGGTGTGGAACAAGATGAGAAGTCACCTAGGGAGGGATGTGGGAAGGAGAGAGCTTGGATTGAGCCCTGGAAGTCATGAGAACAAGATTGCACCTTCAGAGAGCTTTGAGGACAACCAGGAGCATAGATTTCTTCAAAGCTAAGTGAAGAAAACTTTCCAAGAAGTGGAGCTGATGAACACGGGCAGGATCCTGAGGAGAGGAGTCCGGCCCCTGGCAAGGCAGAGAGAACTGAGCAGGTGGCAGGGCAGCTGGAAGCAGAGAGACCCTTCCAGGGGACACGCCCATGACCCACCCATCTCCAGTGAGGCTTCACCTTCCAAGTCACACTTGGCGCTAACTTCTCAGTGGATTGGTCCCCCCCCCCATTGCGTCACCTCTCCAGAGCCCCACCTGTGAGCCTGAGGCTTCAGGGGCTCATCTAGACACAAACCCTAACAGTTGGTGAGGATGTGGAGGATACTGAATCCTCCTAAATTACCAGTGGGCACACAAAACGGTGCACCATTCTGAGCCATTCCTTAGAAAACTAAACAGTTATCACAGGTCCCTGCAGTTCTAGGAGTATACCGAAGAAAACTGAGGGGCTGGGGATTTAGCTCAGTGGCAAAAGTGCCTGCCTGGCAAGCGCAAGATCGTGAGTTTGATTCCCAGTACCGGAAAAAAAAAAAGAAAATTGAAAACACTTTCAAGCAAAAACATACATAAATATTTATAGCAGCATTTTTCAAAATAAGCAAAAAATGGCAGTGATCCAAATGACTATCAACTAGATCAGTGGTGGCGAATCTGTGGCACGTGTGCCACAGCAGGCTTTGTATCTGTATCACCGAGAGATCTAAAAGGTTCACCATTACTGGACTAGATGAAGGTTAACCAAATATGATATGGTAAATCTACACAATGGGATAGTATTCAGCCACAAAAAGGGCATACTGATAGATGCTACAACAGCATGAATACTTGTTACATGAAAGAAGCCAGACACGCACTGGGGATTTAGCTCAGCGGCAAAGCGCCTGCCTGGCAAGCGCAAGCTCTTGAGTTCGGTTCCTGGTACCGGAGAAAAACCAAGGAAAAAAAAAAAAAAGAAGAAGCCAGACACATCAGCCACGTTATATGACTGTACTTACGTTAAATGTCTAGGATAGACAACTCCATGGAGACATAAAATGAATTAATGGTTGCTAAATATTGGGAGAGAGGGAAAAGGGATTGAGTGCTAAGAGAGACCAGGTTTTGGAAAGTTTTGGAATTAGATAGTTGTGTTGGATTACAACCTTGTACATAGGGCTGGGGATATAGTTCAGGGGCACAAGTGCCTGCCTGGCAAGTGCACGGTCCTGAGTTCAATTCCTGGTACTAAAAAAAAAAAAAAACTTGTACATATACTAAATATATTAAGAACCACTGAATTTTACTATATGGCAATTATATTCCAAGTTAAAAAAAAAATGTGTTGAGCAAGGTTTTGCCTGTGAGCTATAGTCTGCCAGCCTGTGACACAGACACTGAGTTCAGTTATGTAATAATACATTTACCTGTGTCAAACTGGAAAGACCTAAAAGATTATACCAGGAGAAGCCCTTTGCTGTTCCTTCCACAGGCGAAGAGAGTTTAAAAAAAATATAATTCTGGGGATTGAACCTAATGCCTGTGCACTGAGCTATGTCCCCAGTTCTTTGTGATTTGTTTTTTAAATTTTGAGACAAAATCTCACTAAATTGCCCAGATTGGGCTCAAACTTGTGATCCTCCCACCTCAGCCTCCCAGAGCGCTGGCATTTCCTGTGGGCATCACCGTGCTTAGGAAAAGTTTCTTTGGAAAATGGGAAAAGAGACCCACTACAGGGCTTAGGAGGATGGCTTGGCAGTGCCACGTGCCACTTGGGACTTGGCATGGTGACATTTAAGGGGAGACTAGGTGGAGTGATTCTGTGGCCCATCTTCAGTTGTTCTGGTCCAAGGGCTGAGTGGCTACTTGGGCTTATCCTGCACTAGTAACGGGTGGTAAGAGAGGCTAGGCTGGGGTGGGAGTGGCACCCACAGGGATGCTGGGGGTGGTGGTGGGGAGATGCGGCACAAGGAGCACTGTGAGTAGTAACCGGGGGCCTGTGTCTAGGGTTCCTACAGAATCTAAAAGGTGTAGGGTAAGTAGGCGGGGCGAATGACAGGATCACAGAAGGATGAGGCTGAGATGTTGGAAGGGGTAGTTTCTGGTGATGGTGAGTTGCAGACCGGGTGAGGCAGAAGCAAGAACAGCAGAACTGAAGAGATCACCGAACAATCAGAAATGTCCAAAGGCTCTTCGGTGTTGATGTTCACAAGGAGGTGACAGAAGGGGGCCATGGGGAGACAGTGACCAGGAACTGTTAACAAGGGGGACAGTAGAAGTGGCGATAAGAAAGGGGGAGTGTGATGAGAGGCCTTCAAGGAAGTGGCTTTTTTGTTGCTTTTGTGGTGGTACTGGGAATTGAACCCAAGACCATCACACTGAGCTACATCTCAGCCCTTTCTTATTTTTTATTTTGAGACAGGGTCTTGCTAAAACACAGTTGCCCACAGTGGGCTTGAACCTGAGATCCACCTGCCTCAGACTCCCATGCACAGCTAAGAAGTAAGGTTTTAAAGAGAGCTGGGATAGAAAGGATCTAGAACAGTGGCAGTGAACCCATGGCATGCTTGTCACCACACCTGGCTAGGGAGATTTCTATCAGGACAAAATAGTAAGGCCCCTTCAGAGAAGACAGACAGTATTGGAGAGGTGAGTGAAAGAGTTGGTGGGGGGTCTGGAAGAACATAAAGGTGAATATGAGGCAGATGTGGCACATATCTGTAACCCAGCACTCTGGAGGCTGAGGCAGGAGGATCACCATGTGTTCATAGTGGACTACATAGTGAGGCCATCTCAAAAAAAGGTGAATTATATTATCTCTCCTGTGCTGGGTGAGGAGGGTGCCCCTGAGCGTGGGCAGACAGGCCCCAGCCTCTGTAGCACTTCTTCTGCGGGCACAGTGAAAGACAAGCAAAGCTGCTGCAGTCATTGCCATGTGGGCCCCTCCTTGAGATTTAGACACCCACTGAGGGCAGAGCACCCTTGGATCCCTGTCCACGTCCCCTGCCCTGGACACCAGCACTGGGGCTCATGGGGAGGTGTGTGTGGAAAAGCCCTCTGCACTGAAGGAGTAACCCCTCCCACAGTGTGCTGGGACTCAGTCTTTTCATGGGAGTCCTGGGTGTTCGTGCCCCGGCTCACACTGAGGGGCTGAGGGCAGCATCGCCCCCCTCGTCACCTCCGGGTCCTTCCTCTCCCAGACACTATCCGGAAGATGAAGAACGATTTCCGGAAGATGGAGGACGAGATGGACAGGCTGGCCACCAACATGGCTGTGATTACTGACTTCAGCGCGCGTATCAGCGCCACACTGCAGGACCGTCATGAGCGCATCACCAAGCTGGCAGGTGGGCACCTTCCTGTGTGCATCCGTCAACAGGCGGTGTCCTGGGCTCTGGGCTGACGGCCCTGTGCTTCCTTCCTGGTCCCACAGGGGTGCACGCACTGTTGCGGAAGCTGCAGTTCCTTTTCGAGCTGCCCTCGCGCCTCACCAAGTGTGTGGAGCTGGGTGCCTACAGGCAAGCGGTCCACTACCAGGGCCGAGCGCAGGCAGTGCTACAGCAGTACCAGCACCTGCCCTCATTCCGAGCCATCCAGGATGACTGCCAGGTCATCACGGGCCGCCTTGCGCAGCAGCTGCGGCAACGCTTCAGGTATGTCCCTCAGTGCCTGCGCCAGCCTCCCAGGCCTTCTGGAACTTTTGCCCTTTGCTTCCCTTTCCTCTCTGACCCCACAGGGAGGGCAGCTCTGGAGCCCCCGAGCAGGCCGAGTGCGTAGAGCTCCTGCTGGCGCTGGGTGAGCCAGCTGAGGAGCTGTGCGAGGAGTTCCTGGCCCATGCCCGAGGGCGGCTGGAGGAGGAGCTGCGTGCCCTGGAGAAGGATCTGGGGCCCTCTCCCCCTGCGCCTGATGTGTTGGAGTTCACTGACCGGGGTGGCAGTGGCTTTGTGGGTGGCCTCTGCCAGGTGGCAGCAGCCTACCAAGAGCTGTTCGCAGCCCAGGGCCCCGCAGGTGCAGAGAAGCTGGCAGCCTTCGCCTGGGAGCTGGGCGGCCGCTACTTTGAGCTGGTGGAGCGGCGCCTGGCGCAGGAGCAGGGTGGTGGTGACAACTCGCTGCTCGTGCGGGCACTGGATCGCTTCCACCGGCGCTTGCGAGCTCCTGGGGCCCCACTGGCTGCTGCCAGGCTCACTGAATCAGCTACAGAGATCGTGGAGCGAGTGGCCCGAGAGCGGCTGGGCCATCACCTGCAGGGCCTGCGGGCAGCCTTCCTGGGCTGTCTGACTGACGTGCGCCAGGCGCTTGCTGCTCCTCGCCTGGCTGGGAAGGAGGGCCCCAGCCTGGCTGACTTGCTGGCCAATGTGGCCAGCTCCATCCTAAGCCACATCAAGGCCTCTCTGGCTGCTGTTCACCTCTTCACCGCCAAGGAGGTGTCCTTCTCCAACAAGCCCTACTTCCGGGTACAGTCTGCCCTTGGGCTTGTGGTTATTCATCCTGCTAATTGGCCCCATACCAGTACTGCTTGGGAAATAAGTACTTCACCTTGTGCAGGAGCTAACAGCACCCCCAGTCCTAGCCCCAGGGACTCTGGATGTGGATTTGTGTTCTCAAGAGGCAGTTGGGAGTGCTGGGGAGGCTGCAGCTACCTGTAGCTGTGCTGAAAGTAGGAGGGTGGCAGGGTCCCCAGGGCTGCCAACCCCCCATTGCCCATGCCTGGGCCAAGCAGGGAAGCTGCCCTTGGTACTTGGAATGTAGGATGGAGCTCTGCCTCAGAGCAGAGCCAGGGTAGAGGGTAAGGAGCAGCCTCTGCCTAGAAGAGGCCACCTGTATATCTGGCCCTCACTCCTCACAGGGTGAGTTCTGCAGCCAGGGAGTCCGAGAAGGCCTCATTGTGGGCTTCATCCGCTCCATGTGCCAGACGGCCCAGAGCTTCTGTGACAGCCCAGGGGAGAAGGGGGGTGCTACACCACCTGCCCTGCTCCTGCTCCTCTCTCGCCTCTGCCTGGACTATGAGACAGCTACCATCTCCTATATCCTCACCCTCACCGATGAGCAGTTTCTGGTGCAGGTGAAGTGCTGGCTCATAGCAGGGTGGTAGGGGGTGGTGCTGGGAACACAGGAGGCTGGTGGTCCCTTGTGGCCAAACCCAGACTGGCCATGTGTGCCCACCCAACCTCCACCTTGCTCAGGCTGTGCCCAGCTCCAGGCTGGCAGCTACCAGCGACCTGCCCCCATATCCACTGCCTCTATCTTCTGCCTCCCTGGCTCAGGACCAGTCTCCGGTGACACCTGTGAGCACACTGTGTGCAGAGGCCAGGGAGACGGCACGGCGGCTGCTGACCCACTACGTGAAAGTGCAGGGCCTGGTCATATCGCAGATGTTGCGCAAGAGTGTGGAGACACGGGACTGGCTCAGTACCCTTGAACCCCGCAACGTGCGCGCCGTCATGAAGCGGGTGGTGGAGGACACCACAGCAATTGATGTGCAGGTGGATCCCTGACTTGGGTGTGCGGGTTCTGAGGGTCAGCCCTCTGAGGCCTGAGCCAGAGGGGTCTGGCAGTGCCTGTACTCGTGGCCTTGTTCCTCCTCACCCTGGATTATGGTATCATCACCCCTGTTTCACCTATACAGTCATGGAGGGCAGGTCTGTTGCTGCAGATTGGGTCCCAGACTCTCCTGGCCTGCCTTTGCCCCTCTCCACCGATTCTATATATGCTAATTACCCTGTGATTCCTGTTTGTTTGTTTTTTTTGGTACCGGGAATCAAACCCAGGACCTTTCACTTGCCAGGCAGGTGCTTGTGCCACCGAGCTGTATCCCCAGGCCCTAACCCTGTGATTCTTATAACAAATGCTGCAACTTCCTCAGTCCCTAGTACCTAACAGGCTGGAGGGGCACTGTGTGTCCTTTTGCCTCCAGGTCGGGCTCCTGTATGAAGAGGGTGTTCGCAAGGCTCAGAGCAGCGACTCCAGCAAGAGGACCTTCTCCGTGTACAGTAGCTCTCGGCAGCAGGGCCGCTATGCTCCCAGCTACACACCCAGGTCTGCCTGGTAGGGAAGCCTCAGGGAAATGGACAAAAGGGCACAGTGCACAGGGTGGGCTCTGATTCTTTGTCCCCTCCCTCTAGTGCCCCCATGGACACCAACCTTTTGAGCAACATCCAGAAGCTGTTCTCTGAACGCATTGATGTGTTTAGCCCTGTGGAGTTCAACAAGGTCTGAAGCTCCGGGAGACCCAGACTCCAGGGGACCCAGGAAGGTTGGGGGAGCAGCCCCCCCCCCCGCTGGACAGGGAAGCAGTAGGACCATGGGGCCTCCTGAGAGATTGCCAGTCATCTGTTTCGGCCCCACCCCAGCTACTCAGTGACTGGGTCTCTCAGTAAAGCCTTCGCCCCGTCCTGTGCTAATGCTGCCATCCCGGCCTGTGCTTGCTGGGTTGTACTTGTCCACTCCATTCCAGATGGTGGTGATGACATTGTATCCCCTCCCCTTACCTGAGCCCTGGGTCTTTCTGCCCTATCCCATCTGCCCCCACCTTACGTCTCCTTGTGTCCATGCAAAAGGTGGTTGTCCCCCCTCCAACAGCAGTCACCGGCCACATCCCCGTGTCCCTGCCTGCAGGTATCGGTGCTGACTGGCATTATTAAGATCAGTCTGAAGACCCTGCTGGAGTGTGTGCGGCTGCGCACCTTTGGGCGTTTCGGGCTGCAGCAGGTGCAGGTGGACTGCCACTTCCTGCAGCTCTACCTGTGGCGCTTCGTGGCTGACGAAGAGCTCGTGCACCTCTTGCTGGACGAAGTGGTGGCCTCGGCAGCCCTACGCTGTCCGGACCCGGTGCCCATGGAGCCCAGTGTCGTCGAGGTCATCTGCGAGCGTGGCTAGGCTCCGCGGATGTCCCGCAGCGCCCTGTTCGCCCCTGCCCAGGCTCCCCTGGCGGCTTCTCCCCGCAGGCGGGTGTCGGACCGCCTAATAAAATGTGTGTGGCCTCTCCCAACCTTTCGCTTGGGGGCGGGGCCTGCGGCGTTGGGCTCCGAGACTGGAGCTACATTGGAGTCTGCGTAGGGCCCGCCTTCGCTGCTGATTGGCTGTTGCGCTGGGGCCAGGATGGGCAGGGGGCGTGGCTACGGGGACAAGAGCACCGCTGTCCAGCCCTGTGTGGACAGGTGCTCCTCGGACAAGTATCGGACCGTGTTTGCTTGACTGACTGTGAGCCCCCAACCTCCATCGGAGCGGAGACCATGGCCTCTCCTCAGGGTCTCAAGGCCCCACTGGAATTCGGGGGCCCCCTGGGTAATGGAACAGAGAGGGGGTACTTTGGGGTGGAGGCCGATCCAAGGGGAGCTGGAGGGGATGAGCTAGGATCGCGGACAGCGCCGGATCAGAGGGTGGAAGACGGTGGGGGGGGGACTTCCAAGCAGAGGGCTTGGGTTATGCAGGGACCAGTGTCCGCAGAGGGCTGGCAGGAAAGGGAGTGGGAAGCAGGAAAGAGGGCTGGGAGGCAGGGGGCAGCGCAGGGGCTTTGAAGGAAAACCGAGGCGGGCGGCAGAAGGGTGCCAGGGTCGGGGAGGGCCGGGGCGCACCAAACGCCGTGGTCCCTCCCCAGGCGCCGCGGCGCTCATGCTGCTGTTGCCCGCCACCACGCTGCACCTGCTCCTGGCGGCCCGCTCCGGCCCGGCTCGCCTCCTGGGCCCACCTGCGCGCCTGCCGGGGCTCTCCGAGCTCTGGAGTCCTGCGGTGCTGCTGCTGTTGCTCACCTGGCTCGGCCTACAGGCGGCGCTGTACCTGCTGCCGGCGCGCAAGGTGTGGGCTCCGCTCCAAGGCGAGGGGCAGGAGGGGCCCCCGCAGGAGAGAAGGCTCCCCGACCCTTCTGAGACTCCCTTTGCACTCGCAGGTGGCGGAAGGGCTGGAGTTGAAGGACAAGAGTCACCTGCGCTATCCTATCAACGGTGCCTGGGGGATGGGCCCTTGCAGGAGTTGTGCGGGTGGAGGTGGGGTTCACATCTAGAGAGGAGCTCAGAGGTTGGCTCCAATCCCAAGCTCCCTTTTCGGCCAGGACAGACACCCTGGGGTCTCCTCACACCTTTTGTCCCCCCACCCCTATCTCATTTTCTGCTGCTCTCTACACCAGCCCAGTGGCTGGAGTGGCCCTCTGAAGACCAAGGTGGCAGACCAGTGGCTTAGGGCAAGATTTGTGACCTCCCTGAGCTTTGAGCTCCGTGTGTGTCTGTCTGTGTGTCTTGTGTTTCTGCGGGGCGGGGAGGGAGAGCCACAGCCCCAAGACTCACTCTGCTGCTGTTCAGGCTTCCAGGCCCTGATGCTGACGGCCCTGTTGGTGGGGCTGGGGGTGTCCGGGGGGCTTCCTCTGGGGGCTCTTTCCGAAATGCTGCTGCCCCTGGCATTCGTGGCCATCCTCACCACCTTCATCTTCAGCTTCCTTCTCTATATGAAGGCTCAGGTGGCCCCCACCTCGGGCCTGGCACCTGGGGGAAACTCAGGTGAGATGGCACCCAGGAGGGTGGGGATGCAGTCAGATGGGGCAGCCTGGCCGGGACTTTATCCTTTGTTACTCTCCAGGCAACCTCATTTACGACTTTTTCATGGGACGGGAGCTGAACCCTCGAATTGGTTCCTTTGACTTCAAATATTTCTGCGAGCTGAGGCCTGGCCTCATCGGCTGGGTACGCTGGGCTTGAGTGGGCTGAACTGGGGCCAAGGGAGGGACAGGATGCCTTGTTCCTCAAATGTGTGGATCCAGCAGGCGCCCAATATTGCTGTAGTACTGTGAGACAAGAGGGGGAAATCTCTGCCTCATAAAGCTTTCCTTCTGGTTGGAAGAAGAGACCAAATAGTAAAATATATGTAGTGAGGCTACACATGTAGCGGCTCAGTAGTACAGCATTTGCCTAGCGTGCATGAGGCCCTGCCTGCCACCCCCGCATGGCAAAAACAAACACTTGCACATAGCATGGCAAGGATGCCCAGTGCCGTAGAAGAAAGCAAAGCAGGGCGCAACTGGGACAGCACATGTGGCTTTATATTGAGCAGTGAAGTGCAAAGTCTATCTCCAGGACAGCGGGCACATGTTACTCTCAAGGCAGTGCAGAACCTCTGATTGAAAGTTTCAGCAACCTATCACTGGCAGCCTTGACAATATTCCAGCTATGTTCCTTGGTTATGGTCACCCATGTTGGGTGGATTACCAAAGGCACTTGGGCAAAGTTCCTCATGTCACTTTCGAAATAATCTCACTTTGAAGCAGACAGGCAAAGTGCCCACCATAATCTTTTGTTGGGGGTTGGAGGGTACTGGGAATTGAATTTGGGGCCTTCACACTGAGCTACCTACATCCCTGCCCCCCGCCTTAAAATTTTGAGACAAGGGGCCAGGGATTTAGCTCAGTGGTGCAAGGCCTGCCTAGCAAGTGTGAGGACCTCTGTTCTGTTCCCATCACCCAAAAATAAATAATAAATTTTGAGACAGGGTTTCATTAAGTCACTAAATTGCCCAGCTTTGGGCTCAGACTTGTACTCCTCCTGCCCCAGCCTCCTAAATAGTCAGGATTATAGGTGTGTGTCAGTCACCTGGCTTCATTCTGGATCTGGATTCTGGGCCTACCCATAGGCATGTCAGTCTCTGGGCTATTTCCTCAATCATGAAATGGGATCAAACTAAAGCTTTTTTCCAAGAGTATTGTGAGAATTAGACGTTTGTAACAGCACCTAGCCCACTGTTACCTAAGTGAGGACGCTTAGTACAGGCTGGGTCCTACTTTGACATACATTATATATTGGAGTCTTCAAACACCAGCTGTAATGGCACATCCCTGTAATCCCAGCAGTCAGGAGTCAGGGGCAGGAGGATCGCCATAAGTTCCAGGCCAGCCTGGACTACAGTGAGACCCTGGCTCAAAAAACAAAAATAAAAATAAACGATAAGACCACACCACCATGAGGCGGTCCACGATTAGTATGCCCATTTTCCCCAGAGTGGTAAAAAGTAAGCAGCCTGCCCATGTGGCAAAACTCAGATTCAAAAGCAGCAGTTTTAATCTGGAGCTGCAACTGCAGTCTGTGTTCCTGGGTACAGCACCTTGGCCCACTCAACAAGGGTCTAGAGAGTGACTGACAATGACAGCTGACAGAGAGGCTGCACTGCCCCACCCAGGTTCTGCCACTTCTGTGGAGATGATGGCCCTGTTTCCCCCTCCCCCTAGGTCCTCATCAACCTGGCCCTGCTCATACAAGAGGCGGAGTTGCGGGGGAGCCCCTCTCTGGCCATGTGGCTGGTCAATGGCTTCCAGCTGCTCTATGTGGGTGACGCCCTTTGGTACGAGGTGAGGCTGGACTGAGCAGGGGAGGCAGGGAGGGCAGGGAGGGACTCAGAGGATCTCGTCAGGACTCAGCCAGGGCATCTGGGTCCTGTCCCTGCAGGAGGCTGTCCTCACCACCATGGACATCACCCATGATGGGTTCGGCTTCATGCTGGCGTTTGGCGACCTGGTCTGGGTACCCTTCACCTACAGCCTGCAGGCTCAGTTCCTGCTGTACCACCCGCAGCCCCTGGGGTTGCCTGGGGCCTTGCTCATCTGCCTCATCAATGGTCAGTCTGGAAGGGAGGCAAGCTGGGCCCATCATTTCTTCTTCCCCACTTTCACTGATCCACCTCCTACTCAGCATCCAGTAGGCAGGTGCTAAGCACAGGCGCTTGTCTAAAGCTGGGGCCAGGGCTGCTGGGTGTCCAGGCAGAGTCTGGGCTGCAGACAGGCTGGTGGATGGTCAGGATCGGGCAGATGGCTACAGCTCTCCACTGTGACCCTCTGCTTGTGCTTTCCCCCAGCCGTCGGTTATTACATCTTCCGTGGGGCCAATTCCCAGAAAAACACTTTCCGGAAGAATCCTTCGGACCCCAGTGTGGCTGGTGAGTTGGGTCTCTTGAGGGCAGTGGGAGAGGTGGGGCAGCAGGGCTTCTGGGGTTCCCCACCCCACTACCTTTTCCCCCTAGGCCTTGAGACCATCCCTACAGCCACAGGGAAGAGGCTGCTGGTGTCTGGGTGGTGGGGTATGGTCCGCCATCCCAACTACCTTGGGGACCTCATCATGGCTCTGGCCTGGTCCTTGCCCTGTGGTAAGTGGCATAGATGACGACAGACAGGATGCCCAGCCTGGGCTGTCTATCAAGTACCTGGGGAGGGGCATGGTGTGTGGCTGGGCGGGGCCCAGTGCCACTGAGTACTGGGTGCCTCTCTAGGGAACTGGTCCTTGCATGGCTGTCTGACTGAGGGCCACTGGTGTGGGAACTTGTGACCTGGGGTGCTGACTGGGTGGTCACAGAGCCTCATTTCCTACAGGGGTGTCCCACCTGCTCCCCTACTTCTATTTCCTCTACTTTGCCGCACTGCTGGTGCACCGAGAGGCTCGAGATGAGCTGCAGTGCCTGCAGAAGTATGGCCGGGCCTGGCACGAGTACTGCCAGCGTGTGCCTTACCGCATCGTGCCCTACATCTACTGAACAGTCTGCTGCCCCCACCAGGGGCCAGGACACCAGGACATTTGGGGACTCCAGGGACTACACCCTACCCAGCCCTGAGCTGGACCGGACTCACAGAAGAGGTGTTGGGGAGCACTGTCCCCCTCTGCATAAATGTCCAGAACTCATGGCACACTTCTCTCCCATTGTGAGGCCACTGTGTTGATGACCAGCTCGGTCAGCTCTGAGAAGGGAGAAGTGGAGAGGAAGCATGTGGGTCCCAAGAGTCTGGGTTGTGGGGGACAATGGTTGTGACTCAGATACAGGCATTGCCAAGCAGTGAGTAGACCAGTCACAGTTTTATTAATGCCAAGGGTCCCCAGTTCAGCCAGGAAGCTCCTCAATGAGAGTCTTTGGGGCAGGTGGCACGGGGCCTCCCCAAAGCCGCTCCAGCTCCCCAGTGAGAGCTGCCACCTCCTCAGCTGCCACAGCATGGGCGCGGTGGGC